CGAAGAAAAAAGAAGTTTCTTGGCTTTGCCTTTCTTCTTCTTTTCCTTCTTCACTTTTCTTTTCTTTTTTGCTTTTCCGCCATTTCTTTACCACCAAAAAAAAGGAAGAAAAAAAAACGAAGGAAAAATGCTCAACTTTTTTAAGCTTTTTTTTTTCTTTTTGGAAACCATTAGATGGAAAAAATAAATCATTTCATTTTTCTCTTCTAAACCATCATCTTTCAGGGCGATAAACTGCTTAATCGTCGTGGCGACGGATATTACGAAGAGCAAAGCATCGTTCGTCCAGGTCTTCCCGGCACTTCATCTACTGAACAGTCTACCGAGGTATCCACAGTTTTGCCAAAAAAGCGTCACGTCGTCGAATACATGCAGGTTAGATGCTCTGATCATCAGTTGTTTACCAAAAACGTTTTAAGATTCTAGACTAATAGAGGCTGACGATAACCTTAAATCTGATTTTTTCTTATATGCATTTAAATACCTGGTGGAGGAAGTATTTAGCCAATTTTTTTACACTGAAATCTTTCACTTTTCGACTTCTGTCCTACTTTTTGTTTTTGTCAACGAGAATAAATACATAAATTTTTTTTTAAAAAGATAGTTTTTTTTTCTTTTGTTCACTTTCTTCCTTGTTAATTTTGTAGTTTCACTAATATTTCCTCTCTCTTCTACCGTTTTTCAATTGTTTTCAATTCTGTGTTACACTGAACACGCGAATTGAAAGAAGCAAAATTAAAAAAAGAAGACAAGGCAAAGACAGTTGGTGAAATATGTAAAAAAAAATGATAGAAAGAAGAGGTGAACCAAAAACAAAACCAATTTCGGCCTTTGTCTTTTAAATTTTTTTCTTGTTTTTTCTTTCTTTTGTTTTTGTTTTCTTTCTGCTTTTTATTTCAAGTAAAGACTTCTATCTATAACAACTCATCTCTTAAATTATTTTTACTTTAGTTTCACTGTTAAGAGCCTCAAAGAAAAAAAACATTAAAATACATTAAAGTCAATTATTTTTTCCTTGCATTTTTTTTCTTTGCAGACATTTGGTAGCGAAAATGAGGAGCAGGAAGATTTCTTTAAAGCATCAACTTTAGCATCATATATTTTGTTAAACGATAATTTACGTTTTCAAGAGGAACAATTCAAGAAGAATGTGCAGTTTAAATTTTCTGTTACCGGTATGTTTGTTATTTATAGCATTAATCAGTTTGCTGTTTATATTAACTGTTTGTTGTAAATTTAGCTGAACTTATCCAAGAAAAAAAAAGAAAAAACAATTTCTATAATTAACTTTTCAACAAATATATATCTGTTTGCACTGGAACTAGGGAGCCAATTTAGTAAAAGGAAATACAAAAGTCAAGAAGCAGCAATTTATTAACTAAACGATTGGTGTTGATCTTTTTTTGCCTTTAATTTAAATTTGATTTTTGTACCTTCATACTTCAAGTTTACTTCTTTAATATTTGGTATTTGGTTGGGGGATTTTGTGAACTGCAAAAACAATAAGATGCTTTATTAGCAAACCAGTAACCAAAAAATAGAAAATCTGTTGACCGCACACCAACTGTATATGAGAAGTGGGAAAGGGAAAGAGTGGAAGGGGAAGTGGTTGAGATGGGAGGCAAATTAAAAACGATACATATCGTTGATAACTGCCCTTTTTTGCAATTGCCACTCCCGTTAGCCGTCTTCGTTCCATCAACAGCAGCGCTGCCGCTTCCATAACTCTGAAAACCAATCCTTCTTTCCCTATTTCATTCCTCTTTTTTTTGTTTTCGTTGTTATTGTTGTTGTTGCTGTTGTTGTTGGTGGTGCTACGAAATTAAAGAAATTACTTTAATCCCTCAACAGTATTAACTGTGCTCAATTAGAGCATTTAAAAAGTGGCATTAATAGAAGACAAAAACGAAGAAAGAAAAGAAACAAAAGAAGAAACACTTCAACTACTATTCAAAAAAAAATCTTTGAAGCAGCAGAAGCCGTAACAACAAAATTCCGGTACCAATTTTTTTGGCAACTATTATTATCTGTAATAACGAAGAAAAGCAAGCAAAAAAAAAGAAGAAATTTTTATAAAGAACCAAAGCTAGTCAATGAATTGTAACAATTGTTGACTGTAAGATGCTGTACCGATCTATTAAAAAATTTTTTGCGGTAATCTAAAAGAAAAAAAAATTTTTTTTTTCACTGATGGAAAGAAATTAAAGTGAAAACATTATCAGAAGGCTGATGGAGAATAGAAGAGAACAAAAAAAGAGGGGAATAAAAAAAAAGAACTGCACTATCTAAAAACGGCTTACAATATAAGTTTCAAATGCAGAATGCTATTTTTTTCCTATTTTTCCAACTAAGATAACTGTATAGAAATGGAAAAATATGGTTAAAAAGGAAAAATGTCTTTTTAATCAAAAGTAAAGAAGCTTTGCTTTGACCAGAGAGGAAATGAAAAAGGTGCTTCTTTTTTTTTTTTTTTTTTTTTTTTTTTTTTT